AACCCTGCGTGAATGGCAAGAGGAGAGGGGACTTGGGGGGCAGATTGGATGCCACCTTGAACATGATGTCACGCTCTTCCCAGAATGTCACTTCTGTAGATACTAACAGGATATATTAATGGTGGGTGATATTAGTACTAACTACTTCTTACTGTGTCAGGTGGAGGGAAGAAAGGAATCGGAATCTTCCCCAACCCCTGTAATATCTTCTTTAATCTCTCCTCCAAGCTTTTAAAAGGGAAGAAAAAAGGGCACAGAGAAAAGGAGGACATCAGCCCCCCGAACAGCGAATGGGGTAGGGAGGTACTGTGGTTACTAGAGAAGATCTAGGGTGCTGCCCCCCTCCTCTCTACTCCTCCCCCTGCACACTGTCTCACACATGGATGTCCACATCAGGTCGTGGAATCTACTATCTACCCACAGAAGCCTGAAGTTCTGGTCTTAGCTCTACCAGTGCTTTATTCTGCCCTTGTCAAATTCAGCTTCTCTTCTCAGGACTCAGTTTCCCCATCTGCAAAAGGCATGCATCTGTGCTTGATTCTATGATCACTGAGATTTCTTAAAATCTTACTACTCAGAGAATTGTCTGCAAACTAGCAGCAGCCCTTGGGGATCTTGTCAAAATGCAGATTTTGATTCAGGAGGCCTGACGTGGGACTCAGGTATAATTCTAGCAAGTTCCCAAGTGATTCTTACACACTTTAAAGGCTGAGTCATCCTGCCTTCATACACCATCAATTCATGAATGGACTGTGGATGTGCCTTTTGTTTTCCCTTTCGTGGATTCCTATCACATTCTTTAATTTTTTCACTCTAGAACTACTTTCAACAGCAAGAATAGCTTGAGAGTTTGTAACTTTTGGGCTTGGAGCTTAGAAATGCCACATACTCCTTGAAATATACTACTACATCTATATACACCCCCTTTACTAATAAATTAACTCACTAATCAATTCACCTACTCCATTCAAGAAATATCTTAAGGGGCACCAGACAGGTACCAGGGCTGGAGTTAAAAGGAAGGGTACAGCATGGCCTCTGTTCCAGAGAGTTTGGGACATTCCTGGACAGCCACCTCCAACTTAGTGTGATAAGCACCTCTGTAATTAATAAAAAGGATGCATTCTGGTGCAATGTTTATAGTCAGAAACTATGTTGTCACAGGCAGGAAAAATTCTGGAGGCAGTTCCAGGCTATGTCCACCTTTACTATCTGACTCTTATCTTCCCTGCGGCCTTAACTCTGTGGCTCCACAGTCCAGAAAGGGGATGTGCCCTTGGGACACCCCCCCCACCGCCCCCACTGCTGACTCACAGGAGGCTGACAGTAATGGCTTGCTTAAATTCTTCTCCATTCCCCCAGGGATTAGGACCTGTGATAGACCCTCCCTTCACTCAGGAGATTTTGGGATCCATAGATAGGGTATTTTGGGTGGAGAGACAGCAGGGGTGGGGGGCACACAGTAGTCCACGTGCAAACTGTTTTGTGTACATGCTTAATACATTTGTCTCGGAAAAGAAAAATCCCCATATTTTCAGCAAAGGACAGTGAAACCTACAGACTGGGAACGAATATCTTGTTCTCATCCACTTGCTGCCCTCCGACCTGAGAGCAGCTGCCCTTCCTCCTCTCCTTCCCCCTCCATCTCCCCCACCTCCAGCTGGTACTGATGCTGGGGGTCTTGTTCAGGAAGCCAAAGAATGAGCTTCACAAACACTCAAGGTAGGAGAGCAAGGTACAGGCTTTTATTTAGAGATGAAGTGAGAGGACAGAGCTCTCAGCTCACGCCAGGAGGGGACAAGAGAGTCCGTGGTTGTCTCAGTGTCTAGGGGTTTTATGCACGGTTGAGGATTTTCAGGAATGAGGGTAAATGGTTAGGGGTGCAGACTTGTAAGACCGCCTGCCCTGCCCCCAAGGTGGGCTGGGTTGTTGTCTCTTTGCTTGGGTTGTTTATAGTTGAGATTGCTTACCAAAGTAGTCTTTTGCCTAGGTTGCAGATTATTTGATTATGATTAGAGAAGGGAAAAATAGCACATAGTTACAATTAAAATAAACTGGGCCTTTTAGCAGGATAAGGTAAATTTTACATTTTCATGATGTAATTGATAGAATAAAGTGACTTTTCTTTATCTGCAGAACACTCAAACATTCCAGGCCAAGTTGCTCCTGGCCTTTTGAGCTTTAAGCGATTTCACTGAAGAATGTCTATATTCCTAGTCATGTATACAAATTTTTACCCTAGAGAATTAGTGTGACTCTGACTTTGCATAATGCTTAACACAGAGTTTTGATAGGGACTTCTTTGTATATTGTTACATTGTTCTGACTGTAATTATCTTGTTCTGCTTTTTCTCTGGAGGCCCTCACCCTACTCTGCCTAATCCCATGGTCCCTGTCTCAGTACCTCCCAGCTTCCTCTGTGTTCAGGCTCCTTGTGTTAAAAGGAGCTCCATGTATGGTATCAGCCATTTCAAAGAGCCGGAGAAAGATTCTTGTCCTCAACACTGTCACAGGTAAAGCACAGCCAGACCATAGGGACAGGGAAAGAAATCCCTAGGACGCAGAACCTGGTCTTTAGCAACTGGCTGGCTGATCCTGTCTTTAATATTTGGAGGTGAGAAGACAAACTTCTCAAGTCACTTTCTGGGCTTTCAGGGTGGCTGCCGACTGTGACTTCTGCTATGAAAAGTCCCTTTCTTGTGTCCTGTGAGATGTCTATAGAGTGAGAGCGGCTTGGAGGAAAGTGGGGTGGAAGAGAAGGGGGCCACAGGTGGGCAAGTCATCAATGACACTAAGGAGGCAACTGCTGCGTCTGTTTTTATTTCCTTAAATGCAGGCTTCAGAAACCATAGAAAGTATGTGTGCTGTGTCTGAGGTATAATTTTTAGTTCCAATCCAGCCTTAGGCATGAAAGAGGAAGAAGCATATTTTAGACAATACCTAAGGCCCAGAGCATATCATTTCTATATGGTTGTGAATGCATTTTGCAGAGTCATTTTGCAACATAAATTTGCCTTTCTTCTGCTCTCGAATAAGTTGGGCAGATAAAATAAATTTATAAAATGTTTTTTCAATATATGTGTGAATATGTTTCTCCTGGCCTTCCTGCTTCTGTCTTGAGGGACTCAGGCTCCAGTGAGCTGTCTTCCTGGATGCAGAACACCTAGTAAAGGGAGGGGAGGGTGGGAGCCCAGAAGTATCTGGGAAGGCAGAACTTGTGCAAATATTTGCTAAGGAAAATTCAGAGTTGAATTTTACAGATAACCCAGAGCAGATTCTCTGCAACAGTTGACAACTGTAGAGTTTTCGGAACAACAGTTTTTCTTCAGTGTGAACATGCAGTGTGTGTGCTGGCCCCATGAGAGAAGTGAACACAGCCCCAAGTTCTGTTTCCAGGAGCAGGAGAATAAGAATGAGATAAATCCGCACCAAGACTGATTTTAGTGCTGAAAATCTACCAAGGGGGCTGGAGTTACAACCTCACATTACACAACCCATATATTCACAGAGCATTCCATATTCATTTATCGAACAAGTGTTTATTAAGAGCTTCACATCCTAGCACTATGCTAACTAGGTGCCAGAGTTACCTCCAAGAACAGAACAGACATGGCTTCCAGTTCTCAAGGCCCTCACAGTCCGAGCAGATAGATGAGCAATAGACTCAAGTCCATTCAGTACTGCGACAGAGATGACACTTACAGCATGCTCTGGGGGCACAGAGGAGGAAAGGACAACCCTGACATAGGAGATCTTGGGAGCCTGCTTGGAGGAAGTGATGCTGAGGCTGAGCGCTAAGGAGTGAGCAGAAGTTAGCAAGGCCGTAGGATTGACGGGTCGGACAACAAGGAAGGGAATTTGTGGCAGAGAACAAGATGAACCATCTGTCGGGCATATGGCCATATTTGACAACTAAGGTAACAAATTATTTTTGTTTTTGGAATGATCTGTTTATTATTTATAATCTCTTAGCACATCTATGGCAGCCAGAGCTAACAGATACTCCATACCAGAGTTTTCAAAGTGTATGCTTGTTTTTAGTTCTAGAACATCAGAAAACTTCTGATGGGACTTTCATTTCTAAGTATTACTTTATTTCTTAAAAATAAACTTTTTAACGTTTTAGAACAATTTTAGATTATTTGATTTTTAACTTTATGTTTTTAAATAACTTAAACCTTACAGAAAAGTTGCAAGAATGGTGTACAAAGGCTCCCCTACATTCTTTTTACAAATGGAAGTGTAGTTGATACACATTTCCCGTATATTCTTAATATTCACCAATCCTAACATTTTGCTACATTGGTTTTACCCATTTCTCTCTACCTATATATATATATCCACGCACATGGTTATATTCTCTTTGCTGAACAGCTTGAGACATCATACCCTTTACCCCTAAATACTTTAGAAATGATCTCCTAAGAACAAAGACATTGTCTTACAGAACCACAGAACAAGGATCAAACTCAGGAAAGGTGACAGTGGTGCCATGCTACTAAGACACAGTCTGTATTTGAATTTCACCAGTTGACCCAACAAGGTCCTTTACATTTTTCTGGTTTGAGACCCAGTCACACGCTGCCTTTAGCTGTGGCATCTCTTTGGGTTCCTTAACCTGGACCAGTGCCTCAGCTTTCATTGTTTTTCATGTCATTGATATGTTTTAAGGGTACAGGTTGGTTGTTTCTTAAAATGCCCTACAAGGTGGGTTTATTTGATGCTTTTCCGTGATTAGATTCAGTAGATGCATTTTTTGCAGATAAGTGATGCTCTGTCTTTTTGAGGAGATCACATTGCTCCTCACATCACTCTTGATGGCAGTATGTTCCATTATTGGTAATGTTAACTTCTACTTGGTGTTTTAGGATATTTCAAATTGTAACACAAACATACCTATGGATGGAGATGATATATCCATATATTAAACACTTAATAACAATATAAGATAATGTTTATATCCAAATGTTATTACAAAGGGAGATTAATGATGAGCTCACCTGCTCTCTGTTACCTTGTCTGAATATACACCATGGCGATGCTTCATTTCTTCAGCCATCTCTGCATATGTTGTAACTTCCTATAAATGTGTCATTGATTAGTAAGATTGTAGCTATGCATTGGCCTTAAAAAAGGTTGGAAAGTTCTACTGTGAGAAACAAGTTACTGCTTAGCCATGTAAAACAGAATTTTCTTGGTACTGTATAACTGAAACCATATACAAAAGTAAATTGGAATCCTGAGGATGATTTAAGGTGATGGCAAGTCTCTTTGGACAGATGTAGGCTCATCAGAAGAGTTTCTTTGGTCTCAATACCAGATTTTATACTAATTTGGGCTCAGATTTACAAAATAGCCTCTGCATATGTTGTGTGTATGTTTTATATGTTGGGCTCCTGTACAAGATACTGATTAAAACAAGAGATCCTTTGCTTTGACCATTTGAAAACCACAGCTATATCCCACTATAGATCCTACCCACCACCTTATCGCTTTTGCTGTAACCACTTCGAGGCTTCAGGGAATACACACACATCCATTTTCACATTGGTGGTTGAATGTGGTCCCCAAATGTGGTTACTCCAAATTGCCAAAAATCCTAGATTTCTTTCTTTTCTTTTTGAAATTCAGTTCTATTATGTGGAAATGTACCAATACAAGACATTTCAGGAATGTGCCACATTCTATGCAATTTACCTGCTTAGCCACTGACCGACCCACGCAAATAACCCAAGCAAAGGGCAGTCCTACCTTGGAAAGTGTCTAGCCCAGAGGTCTTATTCCACAAATGAGGACACTGAGATCCAGAGAGGTGTCTTCTGAAGAAGGAGAGCTGCTAATGGTGGTCAGATTGCACCCCAGCCTGTACCATGGTCAGCTTTCTGATGGCAGAGATGCTCTCTCCGGAGATGATCAGGCAGCCTTTCCCACTCTCTTGTTGGCAGCTGCAGCAAGCCCTGAGCAGGGTCCTTCTGTCTGGTTTACTCATCTCAAATTGAGCCATAGCCCTGGAACCCAGCCAGGTATTTGGGGGCTCTAGATTTCCTAGTAGATTTTGGAATAGAAAATAGTCCTAATGGAAACAGGACTGAAGAGGTGCATCTGCTTCAGAAAGCCGTTTATAATATATTTTCATTGGAAATAAGCAGTCTAAGTTCCAAAAGAATTGTCCAAGTTCAACCAATGTATCTATAAATTGGAGAACACAACTTATTCCGCTCCACTGAACCCTCTGCAGGTTTCCTATCTACCTGTGCAAACACATACAAGTAGCTACTTGGTGGGTGCCACAGGGGATATCAAGAAATTGAGGACATGGCTTCATGTTCAAGAAGCCTACAATAATCTTAGGGAGATGATACATCGATATATTAAAAACTTCATAACAACATAAGAGAAGGTTTGATGGCCTGCATAGACAAGTGGAAGAGAAAAATGGATCCCTGGTCCACTGGAGAAGGAAAACATTCTGCCATGTGGCTAAACGCTGGGGCTCTTAAGTCAATTGACCAGGATGACACTGCAACCTCACTTCCTAGACAAGTTCCACGACTACTTTAGTAACTTTGCGGGCAGCTACCAAACCCCAGCGGCGGCGGCGACGGTCCTGGAAACCTGATTCCATCCACCCTCCCAACGTCCTCACTTGGCACCGCCCCCCACGAAGATCCCAGAGCCCGCCCCCAGGGGGCGCGCTGCAGCCCCGCCTCCACGGCCCGGCCCGGCCCGGCGCGCGCCCCCGCCGCCGCCACCGCCCCGCGCGTGCGCGCCGCCCAGGTGAGGAGGCGGTGGCCTGCGCCCAGGCGGGGGCGGGCTTCTTGGCCGGCGGGGTGGGCCGGGCCGGGGCGGAGCCGGAGAGGCTCGGCCCGGGCGGGGCGGGCGGCCGCGGGGCCGGGGCCAGACCAAGGCCGGAGGCGGGACCAGCCGCCGCCGTCGCCGTCTCGGTGTCCCGTCCCCCACAGCGCCGGGCAGCCTCCGCGGGAGAAGCGGAAACCGCCGGGTGTGTCGCGCCGGCCGAGAGCGCGCCGAGGAGCAGCGGGGCGGCCTCCGTCCGGTCCAGACCTTCCGAGAGGCGCGCGGCGCCCCCTTCCTTGCAGCCCAGCGCGCCCCGGGCCGGCCCCGGCTGAGTGCGCCCACCTGAGCCCGTCCGCGCCCACCTGAGCCCGTCCGCCGGCGCCATGGCGGAGCAGGAGAGCCTGGAGTTCGGCAAGGCGGACTTCGTGCTGATGGACACTGTGTCCATGCCCGAGTTCATGGCCAACCTCCGGCTCAGGTGAGGGCGGAGCGGCCGTGCGCGGTGGCGCGAGCCTGCGCTTCCCCGAGAGGGGGCGCCCCTGCGGCGCGGGGTGTCGGGGGCCCTAGAACTTGAGGGTAGGAGTGCGGCCGTTTGGGGGTCCGGGCTGAGCTTGATGGTTGCGCTTTCCCGAGAGAGGACGCCCTGGGGTGCGGCCGCAGGGGAGTGCACGGGGCGTGCCGATCTCCGTACTGAGCCTGGGTGACCCTGGGTGCCCCCCGACCGGAGGGGCGGGTGGGTAGGGGTACGCCAGGCTGGAGGCCGCGCTTGAGGCTGGGCAAACTAGTGCGCTGCCCCAGGTAAGTGATGTGGGCGGAACGGGTGACCTAATGGAAACAAAAGGAAAGGAAAATAAAAACTTTAGGGAGACTGGTGGCCGCCCCGAAGGCCCTGGGAGACTGGAGGTTGTTTTAGAAGGCGTCTGGGGTCTCATCCCGATTTTACACTTGGTTCTTTTCTTTTTCTCCTCCTCCTCCTCCTTTTTTCTCCTGGCTTGGTTCCATCATGTCATCCAGGATGCTATGGAGAGATCTCCGAGCTGTCTGTTCCGGGACACTGGCTATTTTTTAGTTACTGTCTAAACGTAATTAGACACGTTTCCAGACATTGAAGAGACTGCTCTGCTTGCCAGTGCCAAGATAAACTGTCTGAATTTGACAAGGCATTCATGATTTCAGTTTTTTCAAGGAGTTATAGATGGAGCCCTTGTGTTACTGACATCCTTGAAAATGTAGTCATACTCAATGCCCCAAAATGGGCTTCTAAGATGAATTTGTTTTACAAAGTCTACATGTGATTATTTCACTCTTGATAGAGAATATGTAAGCGACTTTTCTTTGACTTTTTTTTTTGTAACATTACAGTAAATGGAGTTTCAAAGTAACTGAGTTTTGGTGAATGTGTGTTTCATCCAAGTTCTAGCCCATTTCTTGTAAAGTTAAGAGCTAAGCAGCACTCCATAGCTTATACCATGAGAATCATAATCTAGGTTTGGGTGCTTAACTAACTCTACTTCTCAGTATGAATTACCCCTGTTAACTTTAAGAATTTAAAAAACGTCTTAAAAATCTTTGAAATTGCAACCCCCACGGAGTTTTCATCTGCTCTTGGCCAGGCTTCATTATGTCCCAGAGTATGGAGTAGGGGTGCAGATCTGAGTTCTGCACGTGCCTACCACAATCTGACCTTGAGCCAGTGTATCTGTTTCATAATTTGTAAAATAATCGGGATCACCAACATTTTTCAGCACACTCAAATTCTTTTTTGCTTTCACATATCATTTGTTGCAAAGTCTCCTAAGCGTGAGACTTGAATCTTAAGATTATTAAAGTGAGCCTACCTTAACTCCTGTGTGCACAGAAGAGAACCTTGAGATTTAATTCTACATTGTGCAGGTGTTCTATGAAGGTGGAAGGACTCGAGGAACAATAGAGATAGGTCCTTACCTCTTCATGACATGTCATGAAGACATGTCATGAAGACAGGGAGAAAGATGAAAATTTCTGTTGATTTAAATACTAAATCAAAAAAACAAAAGAAGAGTTAAGCCTCATTAGAGCTCAGGTTATTCTTTGCTAAGTAGTTTGTACAAACTAATTGTTCTGGAAGTTCAGAAGAAGGAGAAAAGCCTCAGGCTCAGAAACACAATGTAGAGGAGAGAAGTTAAGAGGCGTCAGAAAGGATGGGTGGGGTTTGTCTAGGTGGATGGAGAACATTCCAGGTGGATAAAGTGGCTTGAGCAGAGGAGTGGAACATGAAAGCTGACTCTGGGTGATGGTGAATAAACTAAGTTGTCTGGAGGGGAAAGAGTTGGTGTTGAGGAGTGGTGGGAGGAATCACCAGCTCTCATTAGCAGGACCCTTGCCTAATGTCTGGGTTTCTAGGTCCACCTTTACACCCATTCACAAGTTAGTCAAGATCCTAGATGTTAAGACATGCATGTATATTTATATGGTCTCGTTTGTGGGTGTACTTGACCACTCTGAGAAGTGACCGCAGTTCTCAGTGTACAGGTATAAGGTATAGTGATTGTTCATGATTTACTGACACACTGGGAGTGGTTGGTTCACGGTAGCTGTAAACACAGTCCCAGCAAAGGAAGCAGCAACCTTACCCTCCTCACCTGCTGGGAATCCTAATAAACCCGCTGGAAAGCAGCCCTCTCTCTGAGCAAGTCTGGATTCCATATCACCCTGATATCCCTCCAGAAAACTTGTTTACCCACATGAGATCCTGGATTCATGCTGTCGTGACCCGTTGACATTTGTTTCCCTTTGCAGAAGGTGGCCAGAAACCCATGGCAGATCTGAGAGCCCTTATGTGCTGTTGAGGTGTTTTCATCTCATGGAGCACGGGTGTTTGGACCCTACTAGGGGTATATTTATGGTTGTATGTAGGTGAAATCTGAGTATGTCATCTCCCAATGGGTATGTGTGCATGTGCCCAGTCATCCTGCCTGCCCCACGCTGTAGCTCCTCTCACTCCTGCCAGGCAAGTCCTGTCCTCTCTCTCCACCTAGCTCTTCTGTAAGGCCCTCTACCTTCGTTTACAGTCCATAACCTACAGTCGGGCACTTAAGGCTGCAGTTGTTTCAGGGGTCTGCGTCATCCAAACTTGAATTTAATTTTCCTAACAGCAGCACCGAGCCTAATGCCGGGCCCATGGTACATTCCTTGTGACATTTTTTTAGAGAGTGAGAGAAAGAAAGGAATGCCAATTTTTCCCTCAAGCTTTTATGACATTGTCCACGTAGAATTATATTCTTATTTTGCTACTCTGCTGGCCTTCTTTTCCCCTCTTGGAGCTAAAGCTTGATTTTTAGATGTCTGTTACAGTTATGCAACTTTTGTCTTTCTGTTATTATTTTTAAAAATTGATGTAGGTGTTTGTCCATGCATGAATCCGGGTGAGGTAAAATTAAAGGGGTCGTGTGAACTAGGATGGATTAGTATAACCGAGGAGTTTAAGTTTGTATCGTTTACCCTTATACCAAAACTGCTAGTATTTGGAGGGCTGCCTTTTTTCCCTCCTAGAAGCCTTGTGAAGGCAGAGATTGGTTTTATTTGTTTTTCCTTTTGGTGGTGGTGGAGGTGCTGCTGGTTTGGGCAGAGGTGGTGAGCTTCTCACTCCATTGTCAAGGGTCTGTGTCCAGGAGTCAGGTTCCTGCTCACGCATGTCCTGCCCTTATGATGAGGCCGAGTCCTGCCAACAGCCCTAACCCCCACCACATCCCCACCACATCCCCACCACATTCTGCTTCCTTTGTAGCTGCTTTCTTTTTGGACCTGGAGCCCTTTGGTTCCTTTTATTCTTCCTCTGGCTGTTCTTGTACTTGAGTTCTTTTGGCATTAGCATCAACTTTGCACCCTCTTTCCAAGTGAGAGTCCCGCCAGGGTGAGCTGCATGGAACATCTCGTCCTCACTGTGACTTAGCCATTTGCCTCAAAGGAAGAATGCAGGCTGCTGCTCCGGAGTGGACTCAAGCTGAGGACAGCATCCTGGAGAGATGTGCTTGTCCTTTCATGGGATGAGCTACACCTTGGGCTTCCAGAGGTCCACTTTCCTAACTGTATTGGTAGTGGCTCAGCCTTATAACTTGGCTCCTGGGAAATTTAATTTTCCTCCTCTCTTTTCTTACTAGCTTTTCTCTTTCATAAAAACAGTCATTTGAAGCATTGTGCTTGCCAAAGCTACAAGCAACTTCTCCCTTGTAACCTAACACAACATATTTTTATACCAGTGCTTAGCTTGGGGTTTCCCAGCCTCATCTCTTGCCATTCGGGGCTGGCTGGTGCTTTGCTGTGGGGCCTGTCCTGTGCCTTGTTTAGCTGCATTCCTGTCCTCTACCCACCAGATGCCAGTAGCACCACTTCTCCCAGTTATGACAACCAAAAGTGTTTCCAGACACTGCCAAATGTCCCCTGGGGGAGGGGGTGAAATTGTCTGCAGCTGAGAACCACTGGCCTAGACTGTCGTCACCCCCTGGAGTGTCCTTTCCCCCCTCATCTCTGCCCTCATCCTGTGCCTGCCATGCTCCGACTTATCCTTTGACACCACTTCTGAGAAGTCCTTCCGAATCCTCCAAAGCAGGCTTTAGTTGTAGTCTCACCTGTGCTCTCAGGATACACAGACACTGGGTCTTAACTGTTAGGATTTATCATGTTATATTGTTGTTATCTGCATCCCTGCCTTCCCACCATACTGTGAGTTCCTCAAAGACAGAAAGTTTGTCCTGTCCAGAGGTGGATCCAGGTCTTGTGGTCCTTTAAGACTCATTATAATTGGGTGGGGTCGGGGAACCTTTAAGAAAAAGAGTATGTGATGGGCAATGACCGCAGTAGGGTATGGGGGGGGACATGATAATATGTGTGAATGTAGTAACCACATTGTTTTTACGTGTGAAACCTTCATAAGAGTGTATATCAATAATACCTTAACAAAAAAAAGAATATGAATTATGAATGCTAAATTAGATATGGGTTTGTGAAGCAACCCCATCTCTGGTTCTTTTATGTTTTCTATCATTCTAAAGAATTGGTACTTACATGTTCAAAACATTGCAAAATGAGTTCACTATTTTTATTAGTTAGTTAGTTGCTTATTTTTCAAGTGGTGGAATTCTTAACTTAAAAACCTTACAATCTTCTCAAAATTTTGTACTTATTTTAATACAACTTAATTGTGGGGGAGGCTGGAGGAACGAGTTGTAAAATTAGTAGGAAGGCAGTGAACAGGCATGTGCGTGCATGCACACACTCACATACTGACACTCTCCACATAATCTCTGTACCCTTTCTCCGTGGCTGGTTGGTTATTGGAAAATTTGGTGGAACAAAGGGTTCCTTTTGCTTGCCAGGGGCAAAACCTTAGTTACTCTGGGTGGTCTTCAAGTGTAAATCTGCAACTGGTTCCAACTACAGCTCTAGTTAGAAGCACTGTAGTTAGATTTATAGAAGAGGTGAATGGCACACTAAATCTTT